TATATATATATATAAAGAGAGTTTTAATTTTTTTAAAAAAAAAATAAAATCTAAAATGCTCTTACTTCTTACATTTCAACTTTGAAAATATTAGAAATAAATATTCATAAACTAATGATAGACTTGAGACAATCTGTAAATGTTGACAGGCTTGTTGTACATATCTTTTATAAACAACTAAAGATTATATTCTATCTATTTTATTTGAATTATAGTTTGAGATAGGCCAAATCAAATATGTAGTTCATCGATAGTAGAGAATCTTGAGACGAGCAATGTTATAAATACAGTTTTTTTAACAAAATTAGTATAGGAAGACAGCTGTCTTCGTGTAATTGGCTGTTGTAAAAAATAATTTTTGACAACAGCAAATCACAGAAAGAAGATTATCTTTCTGTATCAATTCTGTTAAAAAAATTTGCACTTGTAGAGTTTTCCATCTTGAGATAGGGCAACCTGTACAACTATAAATACATGTAAATGAATCAAACGAAACCGAGTTGAAGCACATTAAAAATCTCTGCATTTACCACTCTTTTATAGAAAATTTATTTATTTTTGTAAACTTAGCCTACATAGACCTATTGTGTATGCGGCTCCTATAGAGTGAAACACAGGTTTATTGGAACAAATAGGGTGATGTCTGAATAGAGTGAGGGGAGCATAGCACACCGAACGGAATGGAGTAGAGCGATGACGTTGGCCTTGCAGATTTTAATTCACGGTATGTTTGCTAGGGACGCTGAATGGGTTCGAGGTGTGGGGGTAATGCCCTTACGGCATGGTACATGAATATTTTCTTGTACGGGCATTAAAGTCTTTTATGGACTTGGGTTAGGTTTAATATAAACACTAATGATGTAATCTTATTATTCATACTAAATAAAATAGCTCGACTTTGCTCCTCGTGAACATAGGCACATCGCCGAACCACGTAAATACTCGTGTTGATTTCTCTCTTTTATCTCTTTATTATTGCTCATAAAATCCAACAACTAAAATCAAAGCGTCAGGTTTAGATGGCGAATTCTTCAATTGCAAAATTCGATGTGGTGAATTTCAATGGATCTGAGAATTTCGAATTATGGCAGCGAATGGTGAAGGATTTTTTTGGCGCAGCAAGGGAAGGTAAAGATACTATTTAGGAAGAAACCAGAGGATATGTCAGATGTCGATCAGGAAAAGCTTGATGCACGATTAGTTGGTACAATTCGACGATGTTTAGCCGACAAGATCATGTATCACGTTATGATGTTGAGTCTTTGGCGAAGGTTTGGCTAAAATTGGAGAGTCGTCGTATGTCAAAGTCTTTCACGAACAAACTACATCTGAAGCAGCGACTGTATGGGCTCAAGATGCTGGAGGGTACAGTTCTGATTCAACATACTAATGTATTCAATCAAATTATTAGTGATTTGTTGAGACTTGAAATCAAGTTTGATGATGAAGATAAGGCAATGATAGTATTGTACTCTATTCTTCCTTCGTATGATCACCTGGTGACCACGTTGACTTGGGAGTAAAGAGACTTTTGAATTGGAGGAAGTTATATCAGCCCCGTTGGCCTACAAAAACATCGAAAACTGCGTACTGGCAAAAGTGCACAGAGTGAAGGATTGATCGTGAAGGGCCATTAGGATTGTGGGAGAAAGAATGATAGGGGTAGTTCTTACAGAGGGAGTACGAGATCAAAATCTAGTAATCAAAATAAGAAAAAGTTAAGTGCTACAAATGCCATCAAATGGGTCACTTTAAGAAGGACTGTCAAAATAGGAAACAGATGATGAAAGGAAAGGTGATGGGTCCCCAAACTCAGCTAGTGTTGTAGAAGGAGACTCGAATTCTGGAGATGGAGACATGCTATCGATCTCTAGAGGTAATTCTGACAGATTGACTCTTGGGTACTAGATTCAACCTATTCATATCACATGTGCCATTACTAGGATTGGTTTGATTCATATCATTCATGTAATTTTGGATCTGTTCTAATGGGTAATGATGCAACGTGTAAGGTCATTGGAATGGAGTCCATAAAATATAAAATGTTCGATGGTGTAGTGAGGACCTTGGACGATGTTAAGCATCTACCAGAGTTGAGAAAGAACCTAATTTCTATAAGCACTGTAGACACCAGTGGTTACTTTTATAAGTCGGAATGTGGGGCTCTGACAGTGAATAAATGAGCTATGAGGCTCTGACAGTGAAGAAATAAGCTATGATTATGATGAAGGGTCAGAAATTAGCAGGGAACACCTACAAGCTACTGGAGAATATAGTTGTAGGTGGAGTTGCTACAGCAAAATCTAAGTCACATGACACTCTCCTATGACATATACGTCTAGGGCATATAAGAAAACGTGGTATGACTGAATTTCACAAGATGAATTTGTTGAAGGAGAAAATCATGTGAGCTAAATTTCTACAAGTTTTATGTACTTGGAAAACACTCCAAAATACAGTTTAAGACGGGAAAACACAAGACAGGGGGCATTCTTGATCATGTGCATTTTGATGTTTGGGGACCAATAAGGAAGTTGTCCAAATGAGGATATCAATATTTCATTTATTTCATTACTTTCATTAATGATTTCTCTTGAAAAATTTGGGTATATTTCGTGAAGCACAAGTCTAAAACTTTTACCAAGTTCAAATTGTGGAAAGCAAAAGTAGAGAACTAGATGACAAGAAAATTAAACATCTCAGGACAGACAATGGTATTGAGTATACAGATTCACAATTTCTAAATTTTTGTAAGGAGCATGATATTCAATGGCACTATACAATTTGCTAGACACCGCAGCAGAATGGTATAACGGAGATGATGAACAAAACATTTGTAGAACAGGCAAGATGATTAAGGTTGAATGCAAGGCATGATTGAGGTTGAATGCAAGGCTTTCGAAGATCTTTTGGGCAGAAGCGATGAACATGGAATGCTATGTCATAAACAGATCACCACGAGCAGCACTAGATGGGAAAGTTGCAGAGAAAGTTCAGACAGATAATGAAGTTGACTATTCTGGATTGAGAGTATTTGGGTGTTCTATTTATGTGCATGTATCTAGTGATGAGAGATCCAAACTTGATCAAAAATCAAGAAAGTGCATTTTTCTGGGCTATGTAAAAGGGCACAAATTTTAGGAGTCAGAGGCGAAGAAGTTGGTGATAAGTAGGGATGCAATCTTTGATGAAGCATTCATGCTTAAAGCTTCTCCAAATAAAGAGAAGCTTAGTTTAGGCAAGGGCAACATCAAGAGCCAAGTGGTGCAGGTAGAGTTGGACAATGTTGACATGGAGACTAATGCTCAGGAAGTGGACAGTTCTATCTTAGAAAGGGAGCAGTTTCATAGTGTTGCAATAGATAGATCACTTCGCACTATCAGGCCACCTGTAAAGTATGGATTCGAGGATTCAGTTTTTTATGCACTCATTACAAGCAATAGCGATCCTATGACTTTTCAAGATATTGTTGGTAGTCAAGAGAAAAGTAAATAGATAGAGGCTATGATTGACGAAATTGAATTATTTCATAAAAATGGTACTTGGGATTTAGTGGAACTTCCAGGGATGAAGAAATCGATAAGGTGAAAGTGGATGTACAGAAAGAAAGAAGCAATGTTAGAAAATGAAGGGAAAAGATACAAGGTTCGATTAGTAGCAAAGGGATATTCGCAGAAGAAAGGAGTAGCTTATGATGAAATTTTCTCTCCGAACAGGTGGATGAATGTGGCAGGTGTGGTACAGGTGGACCTATGATATTCCATCAATTTTTGTTGGATTCGATCAATGAATTTTTGCTGATTTTTGGGCTTTTTTTTGGTTAGCGGTGGTGCATGTAGGTCTGGAGATGGTGGTGGACTTTGGTGCTGGTGAGGTGGTGTGGTGGTGGATCTAGCGTTATTGGCAGTAGTGAAGTAGGGGTTGCTAACGGTTGTGGTATGGGTGATGTTGGTGGCAGTAGAGTCATGGTATTGGTGGCGGCGGCGGCGGTCTAGTGGGACCAAGAGTATTTTGTAACCAATAAATTGGTTATATTGTAACCAGTAAATGATATGTGACCTAAAAATGTGTTTGTGATTCACAATTTATTAAGTTACTGATCAAAAAATAAGTTGTAACTAATTAATTTGATAAATTTATTACCATTAAATACATTTTTGACCTATAAAATTTGTGCTTTATAACTGATAAATAAATTGACATATTTTTGATTCCATGATCGATGAAATTGTGACCTTTAAAATTTTTGATTTATGATCGAATAATAATTTATGACTAATTAATTTGATAATATGTGATCGAAAAATAAATTGTGATCTTTAAGTGTGTAATTGTGACCATAAATTATTTAGTTGTGACTTTAACATATTTAATTAGTAAAATGTATTTTTAACTAATTATTTCATAAATTAATTTTAATTAATATTTGATTTTTGAAATTTTAAACCTTATTTCCTAGTTTTGAAATTGGTCATAATTAATCTCTTAGTTATGAAATTTTCCCTACTATAAATTGAAGCCTCTAGGGTGTGTTTGAGCCACAATCTTTTTGAAAAATGTATTTTGGAATAGTAGATTAATGGAAAATGTGTAGTTAATAAAAGAAGAATTTTTTTTTCTTTAGATGTAATATTGTTTTAATGAAGAATATGTGATTGAAAAGATAATAAAAAAAAATGTATTTTAGAAAAAATGGGAATCAAACACTTTCTTAAGATCCAAATAACAAAGTGCTTACAAAAAAATAAAAAATATATATAACAAAGTGCTTACGAAACTCATTTTTGATGGACCCATTTATTTGATCAGAATTAAGCACTCCCGTTTGGCCCCCATTTTGTAGTAATGAAAATGAGTGAAATAATATTTTTTTGAAAAATGAATTGTTGAAAAAGAAATTTTTTTTTTATTTACGTGTAATATTATTTTATGAAAAATTGTGTAGTTGAAAATAAGAGAATGAAAAAATGAAATGTAATAGNTATTTTAATTTATTTACTCTATATTTTGATTTTATACGTATTTAATATTGATTTTGAATTCTCTGTTGTAATTTTGGATATACTAAGCATTTCTTCAAATTGGAGACAAATTTGGACGACGTATGTATAAAACATTACAGGCTCCAAGAATGCATAAATGGAAGCCAAAAAAAATATTGAGTGAGAGAAGAGTAAAGTAATTTTTCACTTCCCAAGAGGTACGATAAATTTAGATATACATTTGACTATCAATTATCTAATTATTTAATAGTGGAAGAGGAAAGTATTATAATTTTTTATTATATTTGTAGATTGAAGTACTTGCAGTGTTAGCACCCACTGAAGAAGAATTGGACAAGGTTTGGTATATGACTTTATCATTACCAACTGATAACCAACATACTACTTTAGATGGCATCGTTGGTAGAAATTTTGAGAATGCATATCAACAAATTCCACAACAAATTTCACAACATATGGACGAGCAACAAATTCCACAACGTATGGACGAGCAACAAACAGGTGTTGCTGGTAGTTCAATAGCGAAGATTTCAATTGAACTTCAAGAATCTGGTTGTTCTTCTCTTGATTTCAACTATGTAAGAAGAGAAGAAATGGAAGAAATGCTCGGTATATATAGGCAGCATGTAGTGCCAGATATGTCTGGCTTATGTCATAATCTGAAGACATACATAGTTGATGAATCAAGAAGACAGAAAGTAGAAACTCTTCAAAATCAGAGACAAATGTTTGAACAATATCAGAAATGGTACAAAGATCAACACGAGGGTTTGGGCTTCCAATCTGGCATGCATTCCCATCATACTGCTCAAAAAACAAAAGAACAAGATGCTCGTTATCAAACATTTCTTGATCAACAGAAAGAAATGTTTCAACAACAACAGAAATGGCATGAGCAGCAGTATCAATGAATGCTTCAACAACAACAAAAATGGCATGAAGATCAGTATCTGGGAATGCAGTCTTATATAAACAACAATTTTGCTTCCATGCAGTTTTATATGGATGGTAATTTTGCTTCCATGACCACGTACATTGACGACAAAAATGAAAATGTGATGAATCGATTAGATTATTTGGAATCAAAACTGGAAGCTATTGCTTGTTCACAGCTGCAGGATGTTCCTGGTTCTAGTAGTGGCGAGAAAGCACCATTTCAACAAATTCCATCGGTGGGAACATCCAGAAAAGAAAAGAAAAATAAGAAAATAAAGTATTCAAGTTATCCGTTAGAAGACTATCTCATGGAAAGATATACAACAATAAGAGAGTGGGTGGTGCGGAATCCATATAGGTAAGAAATTTGATTGTATTTTATTAATTGTATTACATTGATTTAGTATTAATTTAAACTACAATATATACATATAGTTCATACTAGAAGATGGTAGGAATTGACAACTTATATGGAAGAGATACAATAAAAACTATAATGGATGCAACCAAAGATATCAATATTGCGGTTAGTGAAGTTTATAACTCTGACTTAATTAATTTTATTATGCTCAACATATCTAATTTATTTTTATTTATTGTATTAGCATATAGAAATGGAATTAAAGCTATTGAGAGAGTTGATCAATGAAGGTTGCAGTCCTGTTTCCAAAGAATATGTAATTCTGGACTTCAAATTTGAACATGAATGTGCTGCCCATTTGATGTGGCAACATAATGTAATGGCAGAATGTTTTAGCCATTCTCAAAAGGATTTATTAACTGTGACTTTACAGCAATACATGAATGGTGATTTGCTGGTGGGTGGGTGTTCACGGATAGCTTGCAACTATTTATTATTTCCATGTTAATATCTGAGAAAAAATTGGTATCTCTATCTTGTTAATTTTATGAAATGAAAAGTTCAAATATACGATTATAGTGAGGAGTCTCATACACCAGAAGAAATCAGGGAATAAATAAAGTCATTAGTTGAAATAGTCCAAATTTAATTGAATTCCAACAATTTTTCTTCTAGGAGACTGGATTTAAGGAAGCATAGAAATAAAAGGCTCAATTTGGAAATTATACCTTACCTACCTTGCGTAAATAATAGGTATGTATTTAATGCTTTTAAATTGACAACATTTATTCTTTCTTAATTTATGATTTTACCCTTCCACTATTTATTTTGTCTAACAGAAAATAATTCTTTCATACGGGGTAAATTCTTCAGTATTTTTACTCAAATACATAGAATGCTTTGTTTTAAACTATCCATTAGAAATAGTTCAAGCAGACAGGATAAGTATATATAGAAGAAAGATTGTAGTAGACATTTGTTATAATCATTATTTTCTACATCCCCGTAGTTCCTGATTAGTTTTTTATTGTAAATGTGAAAAATTTGTAATATATAAACAATTTGAAATTAGTTTAAGGTTATTTTTGGTGCAACTACGTAAATTCAAAATTTAAAAGTGAAAAATTGTGCATGGATATTTTAGCTGTTTATTTGCTTTGAATAAAATAAATGAAAGACAATAGTTCAAATTTTTATTGTAAATGTGAAGAATTTGTAATATATAAACAATTTGAAATTAGTTTAAGGTTATTTTTTGTGTAATACGTAAATTCAAAATTTAAAATTGAAAAATTGTGCATGGATATTTTAGCTGTTTATTTGTTTTGAATAAAGTAAATGAAAAACAAAGAATAAATGAGAATATACTTTAGAATATATACTTCATTATTGTTGACAATTCACTGCAAAAATACAAAATAAATATTCTACTATTCATAATAAATGGATAGCAATAAATGATGTAAGTAGCATGTTATACATACATCATTTGTTAATATTATGGTTGCCAAAATAAAACAAAATAAAGAAAAACAAAGCTGACAACAACAAGCCGTCTATTTTTTGCCCAAACAAAAGTACTTCAGTCATTCTTCACTTTATCTAATGCTTTGGAGCAAACGGATTTATGTCAGAAGTAACATTTGAATTTGAAGCATCATTGGAAGATTTGAAAAGGACTCTCTTTGCTGGGGGCAAAGGATTTTCCTCAGGGGAGTTTGTATGGATGCTATTGTTTGAAAAGGACTCTCTTTATAGACGTATTAGAGTCATATTGTTATGGGGTTTTTTTTTTGTAAACCATAAATATTGGAGATTCCCTATTTAATAGTTCAAATACATATGTATTGTCAATTTGTAGCTGCTAGTTTGCCAGAAAATCTACCCAACCTACACTAAGCCGGCGCATTACACCATTTTCTCTTGAATTTGCGGTGATATCCCAGTAGTGACGTAAAGAGTCAAGGATTCGAACATTTTGCACATGTCTTAGCAAATGGGGCTTTGCAAACCTTTCTGGTATAGATTGGAAAACATGGATTAATGATTTACTAATATTAAGAATGATGTGGAATAGGTAAATACAGAATGACGTATTAAAAATAACACATACAATTTCTCGATGGTTGTTATGATCCAACGTAAGTTTTACTTCAAACGCGGGATTACCCATATTTAAATCGTCATCGTCTACTTCATAATTGGAGCCATATGTAATCTCTGCTCTAGAATGATCAAATATCCTCATTCAACATTGAATTTCCATTAGATTCAAATACTACAACATAACCATCCTGTAAGTTATGATGATCGAAAAATTCTTCCCATCCATTAGCCAGATATATTTCTCCGTCAATTTTTTTTAACTGTACTATGACAATTATACCATCATATGCAGTTAATTGTAGTGTGTTACCTAATTTTGGCTCTCACTAATTGATAAAAGATGTAGGAAGCATCTACAAATACGAAAAAAAATATAAGTTGTACATTAATATTAATAAAAGATTTTTAAAAATCTGAAAAAATAAATTATTAGATAACTTACAAAACGAATGTTATGATTTAGTGAAATATCGATGATTTTGAAGAAGCTATTTGGCACATCCATTTTTGTGTCTACTAAATTTAGAAAGAATTACATAGATCGTATAATTTAAAACACAATTAAATATTGGAAATTAGACATTATGTAAAACTAAAAATCTATCTAAAAAGTAAGAAAAAAGAATAGACAACACCTAAATATTTTTTAGCAAAGTTGGGCTGGTGTAACTGGCAGGTAAAAATATTTAATTTTTTTTGGTGAGAACAAATGGTATGTGAAGGTATTTAAGCTAAAGAAATGTACGTTACTTTTTTCAATGATTTGACGAAAGGTTCACATGTAGAATAGACAAAGTATTCCCATAGTTGTAGAAATAGACATAATATGTGCAGTGGTTTTGGCACCTTCTTACAAGATTCTGATGACTCTGCAAGATTTGTAATATTTTGCAAGATTTTGTGGGAACAAAAAATGAAAGAAAGAGATAATACTTTTTTGTTTCTTGTATTTATCTTTAACCAAAACAATATATATTTTATTTAAAATTTCATATAGCTCAAAATATTATTGATAGTATTTAGAGAAAGCAATGAAGATACGGGTATACCCCTCGTGCGAATGATGTCGTATCCTGTAGATTTGTGCGGGTACCGCACGAGGGGGACATTCCAATGTGCGGGGTAACCGCACTTTGTGAGAATGTGCTTGCTACCCCGCACAATTATGTGCAGGTGCACAGGCACAATTTGTGCGGGATAGCCCGCACTAATGTGCATGTGCGGGGTTACCCGCACAAGTATGTGCATTTTTGTGGGGGCTACCCCCGCACAAATTTTGTGGCGGTGTGCGGTATAGCCCCCGCACATTTTTTGTGTGCAAACGGGAAAATAGATATCTTTGCACAGCAAGTCAAAACCAAATTCCTGTGAAAGTTGAATATGAGAGTTTCTTACATTTTGTTAATACTCGAGTGTGGAAGAAAGAAAAAATTGTTTATAATTGTGTGGGTGCGACACACCACACATTTTCTGCGGGCACACCTTGTACATTTGTTAATGATATAGTTTAATGATAGTTTCATAGCTATACTAATTTTCAATTTTATGATTAGTTTTCATTAAGCATTATTGTTTTGCTAGTTATTTATCAACGTGAATTTCAACTTACCATCTTAAAAAGTTTTAACTTTGACAACTAAATATAAGAAATCATGTCACCTACAAAATAAGTTTCTGTAGGTATAAATTACTTAGATGAAAATAAATCTAAATAGAAGACAAAAATAAATACAAGATTTATCAACAAAGCTTGCAACAATAATTGATATTATCTAGTACCCATAGAACAAACCAAACACCATGATGTATATATCATTTCTAATATAGACAGTTTAAACACTACATGATTTAAAAGAAGATAATAGTTGTTACCAAAAACTTCTCAAATATCTCAATCATCATCCACTCTTTTTTTTTTCTTTTAGTGCAGAAGAACTTGTGTTATTTATGTCTCCATCACAAGTTATCTTTAAATCTGAATACTTGAAAGCTTGGTTTGCCTCAAGTAACCAATTTTTGAAAAGAGTGTGCTCCAATAATTTTCCTATGCACCAACATTTCGTTAACTTTCTTCACATAAATTTGAATGTCCATATGCTGCATAAATGAAATTGATTTAGATACTCTGAAAAAAAAATGTTTTGAAGTAGAATGTCATTTATATTTTGAATAACAACTTCAAAATGCTAATCAGTTAGAATTCTTACAAAAATGATCCACTCCATTCCATTCATCAACTTCTAGAATAATCTAACATCTGCATTGTAGTTAGAAAAAAATGCATTTCATTTAGCATAATCAACAAAGAAATCACGGACAAAGAAAGAAATTCCAATAAATCGAACATATACCTATAAAGAGGTGCAGTTGTATGAATGTATGAACAAAAGAACCTCCTTGTACACAACATTTTTAGTACATGAGTTGTGCATATGATTTTCATTGGACGGCTTGAGTAGAACTTTAATAGATCTGCTTGTTTTTACTCTTGACAGTGCTACATATAATTGACCATGGCAGAAAACTGGTTCTGGTAGATACAAACCCATGAAATCAAATGTCTGACCTTGTGCTTTATTTATTGTCATTGCAAAACATGGTCTAATTGGGAATTGAGTCCTTTTAAATGGAATCGTAGTTCGATCAGTTTTAAGAGGTATGAAAGGGATCCTAAGTAAGAAAACTCCACGATATTCACCAGTTGTGATTTCAAGAAGAATAACATTTCTTTCAAATTTTCGACAGGTAAGGTGTGTTCCATTGCATAACCCCTTGGAAGGATTGATATTTCATAATAACATTACAGGACAATTCATCTTCAATTTCAACTCATGAGGTGGAATACCATTTGGTGTCAAAGTATTCAAAAAGTCTTCCTATATGCTTTGTTCTAATTTCTCAATTGCTTCATCAAAACTATAATACATGAAACTTTGACCAGGAATTTGTTCAAACAAAAGTCCATTAATGTAGTCAACACATTCATTTGTAGGCGTAAGAATAACACGATTGACCATCGTATATAAATGATCGGCATATGTGTCTATATTGGAAAACACACATTGTATCAATTTTTTTAAAGACGTAATATCATCTTCGAATGGTAGAACTATACTATTTGGTAGCTTAATACAGTTGCAAGTATGTTCTTGTTCTGTTCCACCTCCAATTCGAAGTAAGTACTCACAAAAAATGGGATCGGACTTCGCTCTTATATTTTCAACCAGTGCTAAATGTACAAAAGAAGGCCACAAATACGAGTAAATCATGCTAGCCTTTATTATGTCTTCTTTGTTTCCTTTAGGTACAACTGGTAAAATCTGTCTAAAATCTCCTCCTAAAACTATTACTTTTCCGCCAAAAGGCAAGTTACAATCAGTGATGTCTCTAAACATTTTGTCTACAGATTCTACAGCACAACGATTTACCATAGGTGCCTCATCCCAAATTATTAGCCTACACATTTTCAATAAAGTTCCTAATGCCGATTGCTCGCTAATATAGCAGTTGACTTCACCTACCGTTTCTAGAGGGATTTTAAATCTTGAATGAGCAGTTCGACCTCCGGGCAATAAAGATGCAGCCACTTTGGACGATGCAGTTGCTAAAGCTATGAAATGTTGACATCTGACACCAACCAAGAGTGCTCTATATAAAAAAGTCTTTCCTGTACCATCCAGACCATCGATAAAAAAAAATTCACTTGATTCATCATGTACTTTTTCCATAATTGTATTAAATGCAAATTGTTGTTTTTTATTTAACGTCGCTGCACAACTAAAGTTTCTTTCAATATCCAATTTCGTTGTTTCCTCTGCAACCATTCTCATCAATCTTTCATCGTCGTCTATATTGACGTTAAATGACGCAATTCCATAATCATTTATATTTTTACCAAGTGATTCTAAAATAGAACTTATATCCTCTAAAGCTCGTACTTCGAGAACTTTAGCGGGCATATTTTCATTTACATAATCATCTGTCATATAATGCTTAAATTTATCCCATAGTAACTTAGGATTATTTGGATTACACATTGTAAGAAGCGTAGCAAAAAGACGTCTTAAAGAATAAGGCATTTCGTAAATAATAGTTTCAGATAAACATTCTTTACAATGAGTATCTTCATTTAATAAACCATAGAGAAGTGCAGCTTCACGAAATATACCAACATTTACCCCATTGAAAGTCCTTAAATCATCAAACGATGTTGGACCTCTAATATGATTAAGAAGAAGACAAATAAAATATCATTCTCCTTCAGATGGATTTACCTAGACAATTTGTCCTACAACAATTTGCTTCTTTCTAGGTGTCCATGTTTTGATAGATGCATTCCAAACAAAATGCATTGGGAAATCTCAATACAAAAGCGTTTGAGCAAATTCATTTATTTTATTTACTCGGAAAAACTCAGTTAACATAGTTTTTCTCGTATTTTCATTCTCAATAATAGAAGATAAATTGTCTGTATTTTTGTAAGTTACACATTGATGATCTTCAATATGAAGTTGTAAAGCACAAACAGCTGGATATATTTTCGATAAATTGAAAGCAAAAATCCTCCACATAATTTCAGGTGGAGATATCCATCTAGTAGATTGGTAAGTAGAAATTTCATCAATGTCTTTGTCTATTTTTCGACCAAAAAATTAATACAATCATATCTTTTGTATACATATTTGTATAAATATTTAACAGTTTTAATAGAAGAACATACTTCAACATTGATATGACAGTCGAATTTTGCACTTAAACAATGATTATATGGCACAACCCATTGATTGTCTAACATTTTACCTCTCACTTTAACATAAATACCATTATTACACCACCTATATAGTGGGTACGAATTATCTCCAAACATAGTACTATTACAATAATCTTTTAGATATTTATTTTTACAACAACTATTTTTCGCTATGCATGTGTTTTTAGGATTTAGATTTCCACAAGGACCATGCATATTGTGTTTTACAATAACTGAATGAAGATAAGGATGTATATTTTTATCAGGAATTTCACAAGATACTATTTTATCAACTTGTTCAATAGAAGAAATTTTATGACCACAGTTAAAAATCAACAACATATGTGCATGAGGGAGACCTCTTTTTTGAAATTCAATCGCGTATATATGAGTTATAACAGGACCAAAAATATTTCTCTTATATAAATCATTTTTAAGTTCTTCTAATTTTACTCTAAATATACGTACAATAAGATCCGGTCGATTTTGAACCTCATCATTATGTTTTAATTCTTGCTTAATTTCTGGCCAATTTGGATTACATGTTATAGTTATAAATAAATATGGTTTTCCATAATGTTGGACAAGAGCCATAGCATCTAAGTACCTCTTTAGCATATCTTTAGGTCCACATGTAAATTATTGTGGTAAAACAAATTTCTTTCCAGTTTTGTACCCTCTTGTTTCTCCATTATGTATACTGTCTACGATACCTTGATAAAATTCAGCACGAATTTATTTCTGATTACTACGAAAATAATTTAATCTGGATGTTTCTATTTTAACATACATATTCACAACATATTGTTGAAAAAGTCTATCAGAGTGAAACAACACAAACTTATCAGAAGGCCTAATTTGTACCTTATACGAATAGTATTCACGACATGATACCTGAGACCGTTTCTTCTTTGTATCCTTCAGCACTACATAAGCAAGAATGAATAAAATTTTATATTTACTTTCAATATCACATTTGTAGAACTATAATAGACACAAGAAAGTATATAAGCAAACATGCAGCCTCTTTTTCAATAATTTGAGCCGCAGAATTTATTACATTAGGATCAGCAACATTGTCCACAAATTGTGCAACTTGAGAAGATATTTGTTCGTATCTTAGAATGCCTTCATGCCAACCACATTCACCAAATGGAAAGAGCAAATGATATTGTAGAGGATCATAACAACCATAATAATAATGAGCCCTATGCAAATCACCAAAATGACCATATATAGTAATATCACGAACGCGAATATTTACATTTTCATCATCCTCAACCCATATAGCAGCTACTTGAGATGCCGACGGAGTATTAAGACTCTCTGATCGAGTCCTGGGTGGCATCTTATTTGAATTTTATGCTCATGTAGATAAGTTATATTGCTTAAAGACCTAAAAAATTTACTATACGAATTTACCTTCGAGATTTCGATTAGAAGAAATAAAATAGATTCTATCAGGTGTTCAAAAGTTTTCATACGGTTTTCTAGTTCATTAGCTGTATGATATAAATATAATTGCATATAACAAAGCGTATTATTATCCGGCATAAGTTGATTTACATAATGATATACTTGTCCCTGAACTCTAAATGTGTAGATACCTTTGTATACTTTAAACAGTTCTTTATCGTACTTTACATCAAATGAAGTGAACGCAAAGTGGTTATTATATGAACGTGCATATTTTTTAAATTCCATAGATACAGGCTCTTTAGACGTAAAT